TTCTTTCACTTCCACAACATGTTGACCTCACCCTCCCTTGAAAGAGGGAGACTGTGGTGGTGCCAGCATTCACAGTTTTCCACAACCTGAGCTACACAGAGACTCACAGCTATTTTCCCTGGAATCAGACCCTAGCTGAGTAGCTTTCTGTCTGCTTTTTCCCAGAACTGCTGTAATACAAAATGACCTGGAACTAGACATTAAGAAGAAGCACAGTCCTCCAATTCTCTTTCTCCTTTCACAATCACATCAAGAACGGTAACAATAATGCTTTATTCCTCCCTTCACTTAAGCATAACTGTACTATCTGGATGATTTAGAAATCAATTTGTGTTCTGAGATGGCAATTAAAGTTCACATTCTGGCAATGTTCCCTTCAAAAGGAAGTAGGCCTATCTGTTCAGATAAAAATTTTTAGATTAAAATCTCAAAAATAATCAAAACTAAAATCCAAAAACCAAAACAAAACACTCCAGGCTGATTAACATAAAACAAAGGAAACTTAGCTGAGATTCCTTTTTACTCAGTTTGTGTTTTCGAAATGATGAACATTTCTCAGGAATGCCTTAAGACTCACTGTAATGCAGAATTTTTAAACTTTGAAATGCATCACATTTCTCTTTTCATTTAATATTTTAAAAATAGTAATATTGAAACTGTCTTGCCCAGATTGAAAGGGATATTAGCTCTCCCCTCACATCTTCTGTCTGGTCTGGTGAGAGCAGCCCATTGTGTGCAAGGACAACAGTTCTTTTGCAGTGCTGAATCTTAGACACTACAGACTGCCTCTCTTCAATAGGGTTACTACAGGGGAAAAAGAAAATTTCAGTGCCTCATAGAAGAGACAATCTAATCCTCTTTGCTGGTACATCTGCTGTGGCAGTTTTGCTCTGCAAATCAAAAGACATCCCATTAATTAAAGTTCCTTTTCCCTTTCATTTTTATTCAGCTTGTGAAATGTGACCAGTATTCACCAAAAGAGAAAAAAAAGTTTCGGAACACTTTACACACAAATATCCATCCAAAGGGTGTGCACTTTGATTTGTTGTCTGATTTCCGCTTACTGTTCTTCCTCTTTTTTTTTCCTCTTAAAGAAGGAGCTCTTCTCCTCTGGCAGAGTGTGATACATTCAGAGCGCTTCACAAAACAAAGCTTTCAGCTCTGAGTCAGCAACAAACTCATCTTTGTTCCTGTGGCTCTATTAAGGAAAGAAGGCCAATTTTATGCAGGTTTCTATGGCTGGCTTCACAAAGGCATCTCTCTTGTGTGCAAGCTCTCTGGCAGGGACAAGCAACTCTGAGATCATCGTTTTCAGAAATCACCAGCTGCAATGAAGATCAGAAAAAGAAAATCATAAACTGGTTTATAGAGTGGTTTTCCTGAGGAGACCAAAATATATAGATTCCTTCACTGGTAGCAGTTAATAAAGGCCACTGTTGTTGCCTTTACATATACAGCCCAAGGCCGCCTCTACATTCTGTTAGCTCCTGATGCACTCTGATTGGACATTCCCATCATTTGTCTTGAGGAGGAAGTGAAGCACATTTTCATTTTTCTGGGTTTCCCTGGAAATTCCCAAGAATTCTTCCTTGATTTGATGGTGTTTTAGTGTGTTTGGTATTACATTAAAGTAGAATCTCACAGTGTGTCTCCAAGTATTTCACATCTGTAGCACATAGCTAGAGTACTATAAGTTTCCCAGTTGAGCAACAGGGAGCTGATTTAAGACCTCTAAGATACATGGCAAACAAAATAACTGCAAGTATTATCAAATAATTCTTGAAGCATTATTAGAAAGAAGAAATCAGAAGCATGCCCTATTTATCGTGTAACCTAACAGGCCACTTTGAACATGTGGAACTACATAGAACAGTCTGTGCTAGAGTTCCTTCAGACTGTTCTCAGATAGGTTCATCCATGATTTGATATAAAAGAAATTTATACATTAAATAAATGTGGACAGAAAGTCCAGGTCTTCAAAAATGAAACTTCTTGTAATGGCAGGGCTTTTCAGAACCTTAAATCAGCTGAGGTGCATAGTCATTTTCTAACATTCTGTCATTCCTCTATGTTCAACCAAACATCAGCTTGGACTAGTGCTCTACTGGTCTCACTCTGTGGAAATGCCCTAAAGGTCTTGCTCGGACCAGTGCCAGTGGCTAACTAACAGCTAGAGGGATCAAAAGTTCAGGTTATTCTGGGCAGTGATGAAGTTTCTGAAGAAAGCGCAGGCTCATTTGCTTTAGTATGCATAGATAAAATATTCATGGCCAGATGCTATTTGAAACTAGCTATTGAGATATTAACTACATTATGAAGGAAAGTACTAGACCTTTACCCCCAAAGAAAAGTGCTCACTATCTTTTTACAGATAAGAAATCTTGGCATACCTTGACTGGCTTATGTACTCACAGGTTATATGATTTTCTTGTCAGAGCTTCCACGGATGAAAGGAAAAGCCATGCTAGAGTTTACATGAGGAGCCTGGGCTGCTTAAGTCCATGTAAACTTGGCAGCAGGTACCATGCTGCTCTTTCTCAATTCATGTGAAGATTCCAGAAAAAAAATTTGCCACTTTTTGTTGATGACATCTGTTAGCAAAGGCTTTTGTTCATTTTCGCTTTTTGTTCTTTTAAGTAAGGAATATTTATTGAGTGCCCGATATGGAGTAAACAAGACAGATATAGTTCTTGCTTTTCTAACTTACTGGTTGGGTAAGGGCAGGGAGAAAGCAGAAATGCAGTGCTGTATAATTTCTATTCATGTGATGGTGTGCTCATTCAAAAAGGACTTTTGCACATTTAAGACTGAGTGGATGGGGCAGAAACTATAGCTATTTTGAAAGACCAGTAAATTAGATTGACCCTGAAATTTGTCTCCCCCAGGGAACTCGTCTCCATGGGTATTATGCTTATACTTTTTTATTACAAACATGTTGTGTTTATGGTGGTTGTATTTTGTGATACAAATTTTAAGATGGGTAAGGATGAATCCTTTGAATTATTTGCCCAGAATCCCGGAGCACTGTTTCTGTTCCAGTTACTGATGAGTCACAGTTCAGATGAGATACGATCAATGTGCCAATTGTTACAAGAATAAAAAGGCTGATTTCTACTTTGAAATCCCTAGTACAAGTCTAAACTTATCTGGAGTTGAAAAACAAACCCTAAAAGCACATACCTGAGTACTCCATATACTACAGCAAACAAAGGAGCTTTCTGCACTTTTGAAGCATGTTGGGGCTTGGTTTGAGGATGTTTTTGTTATGAAAGACAGCATGCTAGTGGCTGAAATATAAAACCTGATAGTGATATATCTGATAAAACAGTTGTATGTTATACTATTTGCAAAGCTATAACACAATTTAGAAAAGTATGACTTAAGCTTCTAGCTCCTCCATTGGTTTGCCTTCTGTTTTTGTCTTTAGCTCCGTCTTATAACTTGAAAGATTGTAGATATGAACATCTCAGACCAGCACAATAAAGTTCCATTCTTATCCCAGCAAACAGTCCCCCCTGGGCTACCTCCTGGCTGTGAGTGGTAAAGTTGGCTGTAGCGCATCCTGCACCTGGAGATATGGCCCAATTGAAAGATGATAGCCTAGAAGCAGGCTTTCAGAGTACTGGCCAGAGTGTTCTAGATGTCTGGGGCATACAGCGTCTCCATAGTGTGCTGTGGGCTCCAGCTGTGCAGTGGGAGACTGGTAGTGCTGCTGTGGGGAGCTCCACACCTCTCTAAAGCTCATCTTCCAGGCTCATTCAAGGGCAGTACGAGTGGCTTTGTAAGCCTTGGTAAGGACTTGCCTTTTCATGTAACAGAGATGGGAAGACAGTAAAGTATTCTCATTCAAGTTTTCAAAGTTTTATTTGTGTCCTAAAAGAGTGAGAGTGGAAGGACAGTACTCAGTGGAGAGGTAATGGCAGAGTCGTAGTAAAGGAATAATTGTCTTTGTGGGCCCCTGTGAACACCATGTGTTACTGATGGGAGAGATGCCCTAACATTCTTAGATGCTTTTAAGGACGCTAAAAAACAGACGCACCTGTGGGAGAAAGCTGCAGTGAGGATTCCCACACAGCTTATCATCTACCTTAGCACAGTTTTGTTATTCAGCTTTCTCCACTAACATACAGTTACTTTTCCATTGTTTTTTTGTCCAATGTGACTTTAATATTTCAGGAAATTTGCCCAGGAAGATAGAAGCTACAAATAACTTTACTGCTTGCTCCAGGAGCTTTCATTCAAAAGAAATTTAGATTCCAAAATTACTTTCCCAAGAGATTAATTGAGCAAGGGAAAAGGGAATTGCAAGAATTTATAACCATGTGCCACTTAGTCCCTCCTAAGTCACAGCTCCCACTTCAAGGTCTTTCTCCAGCTGCTTTTCTTCCCTCGTTCTACTTGCCTCAGTTTCTCTCTTGTCTTCCTTCTCGCTCTGATTTGCATTATTTCCTTCCAGGTCAGCAAGAAACCTCTTCTTTTAAGCTCAGTTACTTCTTAAAAGTTCAATGTCTCTCAAAATAGAAAAATTTGGGGTTGAATTTAACATGGCTGAGGAGGAGCCACATTGGAGAAGAAATCAACTAAAGGTACAGGTCATTGGAAGACAGGGAGGTACATACATTCTGGTGCCAAAATCAACCTGAAATAAGAGACTTGTACACTAACCAAGATACAGGTATGGGACTTTATACAAAGGTGAAGCACTCCACAGGGGTACCTGTGTGACCTCCACCTGTGCATAGCACAGAAACTGCCGTCTGGGAAGCTCCCAAAAAGCTGATGGACCCCAATAAGGTGGCAAAGCCAAGCCACACAGGATAGACTGGGTACATGGTCCCTTGCCTCTTCTGCCTTCCTTCATAAAGAAGACACTGGAGCAAGGCAGCAAATTTTGCTGGCACACACAGGGGTGAGTGACCAGGAAGCTGCCCTCTCTACTATGACCCATCAGTTTTTTTTTTTCTCAGACTATGAGACAATAAAAATAAAACAACCTCTGACTAAGCTGGGAACCGTCAGTATTGGACTCACATGCCCAGTTCACATGCGAGAGTAGAGCATAGAGCTTACAGGGACACGTGGACAGTCCAGGGCTCCACGGGGAGAAACACCAGCGGAGCAAAAATGCCGTAAATGGTAGGCTCCACAGCAGCTAACTGAAGCCGCCAGAGACAGCAGGCTGAGGGACAGGAGCGGCGGCAAAGGTGGTGAAGCGAAGTGCAGCTCTCCTCCCACCCTGCTCCAGGTGGTGTGAAAGAAGAGACACACCGGACTCGCTGGACTCAGGAGCAGCCTGGGGCTGTGCCCGCAGCAGTGGTGAAGGGTGCCACGGCAACTGAGTGAGCAGTGTGGAGACGTACGTGTGAGTGAACCTCGTCCCTCACTTTTCTGGTTCACTTTGGTATTCTTTTGCTTTCTTCTTCATTCTTTCTCTCCTGTCTTCTCCAGTCTCCCAAAGCAAAAGTGATCACCCACTGTCCTTCAGGCTTCCTTCTACTATATTTCTCTGCATTTATTTCTCTATTTTTTCTCCTATCCCTCTCAAATCCCTCTGACACACACAGGGTGAAATCACTCTACTAAGGGGAAACCCACCACAGAGGGATGTTATAGAAGGTCTTTTGGAGGCTATCCCAAAATCTTGCCCATGAAAATGAAGAGTCTCTTAAGGTAGTCACACAAGCAAAGGAAGCATGAGTTCAGAGACTTCAGACAGGTGTTGAAAATCTCTCAGAGAACTTTTCTCAATTCAAGAATAACTCCTGAAACGTCTAAGGTTTTTTTTTTTTTGATAATACATTCATTTTTTGATAATACATTCATTTTAATCCTTTTTTGATAATATATTCATTTTTTCCTGGATAATTGCATTAAACTGTTACCTAACTCTGAAGATTAAAGAAGAAGAAAATATACTACAACAGTCTAGACGGAAGAGATCTAAAACTCCGTATCACTCTATCCTTAGAAAAAGAAGCTCCTGTCTCAACTGAAATAACAGGTGGGACCTTTTGTGAAAGATGGCTTTTGAAACTGAATTCACCCAAAAATAGGTCTTAGAAGCAGACTAGAATACAGATGACATACTCTTGGTGGTTAACAAACTTCCACAGGTCTTCCAAGTAAACATATCACTGCCCTTTGGCCTTAATTCTGCATTAGGATTTCCATACAGAAAACTTCATTGCCTGGTATTAGATCACTTGTATCAAGTAGTACCGGAATATTATAACACCATTTGATCATCCCATGAGGCCAGATTGGCCAAAACTAAAACATTGATTGACTCCCAAAGACTGGTATGAATTTGTGAATAAAAGCCCATCGACATCTACCTGTAAACTGGACAGGCACTTACTATTGGTAACCTGATTCTTATCTGCAGGGTATCCTCTGCATCACCCCGAGTTCATTTTTACCCATCAGTTTTGCTTTTCAGAAAAAGCTTACTATATGTTTCAATATAGGCCTAGAAAATGGGAATAATCTTACATGTTTTGCTTATTAGACCAGTAAAGGAGTAGAAAATTCCTCACAGAAGTGCCAGAAGAGAAATTAATGAAACTAGACTGGTGCTTGTTTAGACTACAGCTCCTTTAGCTATAACACTAGTATCTTCAGATGGGAGCATGTGCTCTTTTAGGAGAGGAGTGGTATGATTAAAATCCTTTAAATTTGTTTATAGCTCCAGTACTGTATAATTAAAAACATCTTAGATGAATACAAACCATCAGATTTTCGGTTTGGCTAATAAACATGATAGTAGAGGCACTTTGGTTTGGGGATGAAATCTATTCTCAGTCTAATCTGTTTTTTATTAGCTGAGAAATGAACTACAAGTTTTAGTCATAATTCTTCCCAATTTTTGTTCAGCTTCTAGTGTCTCAATGCAAGATTGCTAGCATTTTGCCTACTGCAAAGCAAACATTCTGCCACTGAATGATCTAACAAATGATTACACAACCAAAAGAATAGAAAAATATGACACTTGTACAGGTGGAAACTATCATCTTTGGTACCCTTACATTGTCTTGATGTCTCAAATAGCAGTGACAATGTACATTGATTACACCCCTAAATGAATCTTTTCATAGCCCAGGCTTAGGAATAACCACAGTAAGATAGCAATCATCTGTGCCTATACTCTTCATGGTTTATATATTCACCATTTTATTATTTGACTCTCTTCTTTAACATAACTATCACTTTTCATCAACATGAATTTATTATTCTAGGAAATGCTTGTCTAGAAAAATAAATTATGCAAATAATTTTATTGATTAGCTTTAAAGCTTGCTGGAAAATGTATTTAAATAATCATTGAACTGTTCAATTCTGCAATAGATAGCATTGATAATTGTTTCCTTAAAACCTTTGAAATTCATGCCTCAGAATCCACACATTACTATCTCTATCAGTACTAAATTTTAACAATCTCTGTTAATTCTTGTCGAGCTTCTACATTGAATACGTATTTTAAACCAGACTCCAAACCCTTGCAAATGCTCAGACATTGTTGTCATTCCCCTTCTGAGATGCTACTCAAACTCTCTTGTGATTCTGTTCTCCTATAGTGTAGTAAAAATTCATTTAGCTATATCATACCCTCCATACACATACACATCTGTGACTGGTGACAATCTTCAAGCTGAGTAAGACTTTTCAAAATTAGTTTTTTAGAAACCCACTTTATAACATCAATTTTTATCAAAATTAAACAAAAGCACATTTTAGCATAAAGCCCTTATATCTTGCAAGAATGAGTGAAGTCTCTAAATGCAGATATAATATAAAGGCTACATTTGACATACCTGTTCTTGGAATTCACACTTATAATCATAAGGTACTTAATAAATGTTTCATCATGGGTATTATGTTTACAATTAGACAACCTGCATAATTTAGGGGTAAGAAAGAGGGTAGTGCAGTGCCCTTGAACATTATGTCAGAGTTTTCTTTACAACAAAATTTTAATTTTTACCTGAACACAGTATGCAACCACTTATTTACCTGTGTTCCTTGCCTAGAAATTTAGGTGACTATAATGATTATTTGTTTATTAATCAGCCCATAATTTAACAATTTTCATACATACCTGTAGTATTATGCACTGTAGACATGTTAAGTATGATTTGTTTTCTTCCCTAGATTGGTTTATATGGGACGGAGACAAGAGCAATGGACAGTTTCTGCAGTGCAGTGGGTAGTAAGATGGAAGTACTCACAGGATGAGTTGCTATGCAGTCTGAGGGAGACACTATCTTCCCAGAGAAGATAAAATAAATTTTGAAAGATTAGTGAGAATCACATAGGAGTCAAAGAACTTAGCTGGACAGGCTGTTAAACCTTAAAGTGAAGCACCTAAGTGCAGATTTTAGATACAGAATGAGGTCGAAAGTTCTAGCTTCTAGTAAGCCCTCTGACAGTGTCAACAGTTCCAGTGCTGGACCTACTTTGAATAACAAGAGACTAGAAAGCAGCTTCTAGTGATCATTTGTTCTAAAACAGCAATTCTTTAAATTTCTCAACAGCAGTAATGTGCCTTCAACATCGATCTATTAATAAATTAGAATCCCCAAATGCTCAGCTTGGAAAAACTAGCCTAAGTTATCCTGTAACAATACATGCTTAGAAGGTATTAGCTATTTGTGCATAATATATACTATTTAAAAAGACATTGTTTTATATTTAGGGAGTTTATTTTAAAAGTGGTGCAAAGTAAACATTATTAACAGCAAGTATGTTTTCAGCTACTATGTATTTATCAGATTTTGGAAAAGGATTGATCTATTAGAAAGCATACAGTAATGTACCTGTTGATGTGTGCATTGTGCTCTTGGGAGGACAGTTTTCAAACATTTTGCTGCTAAACTGTTAGCAATATATTTACATAAGAAAAAATTTAATCATTTGTTTTCTTAACAGTGCTTCAAGCCTTAAGGTTTGACCTCTAACAAAAATAGCTGAAAGAATTTTGAAATTTGCTTTAGAATTATTAAACCTCAGGCAAAGCAAGATTTTACTCCAAAGAAAAAGCAACTCAACAACATTTTAAATAAACCATAACCAAAATATCCAGAGATGCCTTTATGAGTTTTTATAGGGATGTCTAAAGTGAATTGCAAAAATACTCTTTCAGGAGCTACAAATAGATGCATGGAGCCCAAACTTCCAATCCAAATATTTTCCTCAGAAGTGGATGTGGGACATCAATGCAAAATTTATTTTCATTATTTCCATAAAATAATCCCAAATAGTAACCTGAACTACTATTCGAAGCACCTTGAGAATGCAAAACCTCCCAATGAACACTGTGTTTAGCTGTGGTATTTATAATCAGAACATAAACTTTTGGTCTAAAATATTTTGTAAAGTAATAATTAATAAAGAGACAATAGTTTACTGTGAAACTAGGGTTTTTGACAAGATGACATGGTTCTCTAGATAAAAGAGTAAAGAAATTTTATTTGGTATTACTTTACTGTGTAAAACATCTTTTGAAAGTGTCTCTTCTGGGCTTCAGCAGATATCCAACAGAGCATGACATTTGTTCAGTTGCTGTATCTGTCGAAGAACTCAGTTTAGTCAGCTTGCCTCATCCTATGGGAACATGGCCCTGCCTGTCACGATGGTGGCAGACATGGAAAACCTCAAATAAATAAAGAATGTGAAAAGTTGCAACACTTTGATGTCAATCTAAAACACACAGAATCTGAGGGACCCATGTTATACCTGTTATGCTAGCCCCCTTTGCACAAAAGGCATAAGAGTGACCCCATCACAGAGACATGGATTCAACAGCCGCTGGGTACCATGTACTGCATCCTACATATTGACTTATTTAATACGGGTGATGATCACATCATAGGACATTCAAGAGGTCAGAAACTTAATCAAAGAAGTGAAGAATAGAGACAAGTGTCTTAGTACATATTCAGATTTCATTTATTCATATCTTTTAGGATCATACAGAAGTAAATTTGCCATACATACGGTTTATGAATTGATGATTCAAGATATTTCAGCTGGTGAGTACTGTGAATTTCTTGGGGCTATTGTCAGTTTAAGGTGGAAGAGAGAATCCAGGATGCCATTAGGAAGCATTTCTCCCTATGACCTAACAGATCTCTCAAGAAAAGGACTGAATCTATAATAATTTGTGTTAACTTCTCACTCTAAATAAATATCACTTTTACAACCTATTTTGCTGAACTTTTGCCTCTTTTTGTAGAGGGTCTCCCACCATTGCATAGGCTTCAGATCCAACAAAATGTAGGTCAGACTCTGACTTTGTGGTCTGTCCATGATTTCTATTTTTTATTTATTTTTTTATTTTTTTGGTTTTTCTCCGGTACCGGGAACCGAACTCACGACCTTGCGCTTGCCAGGCAGGCACTTTTGCCGCTGAGCTAAATCCCCAGCCCCTGTCCATGATTTCAAACAGGCAGCTCGACTCTTTCTTGACGGTTCAGAAGTACACATGCCGTGAATATGTAGTTTATAAAGAGATCTGCAAAGCTTGCTCATCATATCTGAGGGTTTGATTTCGACCATTTCAGATTCAAGGCCATTAATAAGAAGTTCTCTAATGGGAGACCTCTAACAGTTTTTATTATAAAAATGCTGTTATTCAGTCTTTTTAAAATGTAGCTATTAAGAATTTTTTAAAAAATATGTTCAATACATACATTATAGAAGAGAAATGAGATACTCCAGTAGGAAGCAGCAGCTCAAAGCTGTGCTGGTCAAATCCTTGAACGCACTGCTGCAGCCTTGTGGTGGGTGCAGAGCTCATACTTCTCTGGGTGTCCAGATTCTCTGCTGCTTGGAGGCCACATGGCAAGCAAGCAAAGGGAATACTTTCAGGGAAACCAATAGACCCGTATGTGGAAATTACAGAGAAGAGTTAAAAAATGTACAAGGTAACTAATTTGTAATATGGTACACTGAGGAATTATGATGTTCTTAATTTTAGGAATGTTTGAAGTATCCAGAGGGTTTCTTTCCATAGTAACTAGTTGGAATTTTAATTTTGTAAACAGCTCAGTTGCATAAAACAAATATTAGATTCTTGCTTTTGGTTAGCATTTTTTCTTTTAGAAGTTAAGGAAAACACTCATGTTTTGGGAAAACCTTCCTATAAGGTAACAGAGAGTAGAGGAAGTTTGTTTCATTCTTTAAGGGTAATACAGTTGATACTTAGATCTTTGATGTTATTCTAAGGTTGCTGTGTGGCATTTTAATTGAGCACGACATTACTAAATATGCAGGGTGATTTTTGGGTCTTCTGAAGGCAAGTCTCCCATGTTTCTATACACCTTGTCCACATTTAATAAGCTAAAATGTGTTTTCTCTTACAGAGGAGACAGTAAGATTTTTAAAACCCTTTCATTATGGAGCTCAGTTATTCTTGCATTCAGGATCTAGTAGGTGCTCAATAGCTATTTGCTGAATGAGTAAATTCTTTCAACAGCTGTACTACATAATGCCTCCTAGATATAAAGCTTTGGTATTTAAGTGACCCAATGATGATCAAGTTTCAAAAAATGACTGTTGTCAACTTAGAAATAAGAACAACTTTATGAGAAATCTTTCAAACTACTGAGTATTTTTTATTTGTTGAGTGTTTTAAAATATCTTTTTTCTATTCCTAGTTACAGGCGTGTAGAAGATACTCAATAAATGTTTATTGAATATGCAAATAAATTAGGCATTTAAGTTTCATTCATTCATCAGAAGTTTTACATAGTTTGCTTACAGTTTGGTTCATAATTTATTTGGTTAATGATATAAGATTCCCAGAAATCTGTAGAGGTTACCTTTGATGACTGCTAAGCATTAGCATCTCAGAGAAAACAAATGATAGGCTATACAAGAGGTAGAGAAAATCTTTTTGTGTTGAGGCAGACATTCCTGCAGTCATAAAGCCAAAGATAGAAGTAATAAGCATGGGCAGTGAAAATGACAAAGGAGAAAATTTGAGGTTTAGAAAAGAATGGCACATAAAAGGGATGATTCAGATATATGTAGGAGGGGATGACATACTTGCTTTGGGTACGATAGGGGTATATTGAAGAATAATGACATATTTGGGAATAAAATAGGAGAACTTCAGGCCCTAGATGATACAGGGCCTTAGATGCCAGACTCAGCATTTTAAATGAAATGACATAAGCAAGAGAAAGTGATTCTGGGAGACTGAATTGATGAAAGCACTGTTGGAAAAGGATAATTCAGGCAGAGGTGGCATCATAAAATGACAGGTTCGGAACTGGGACAGCAGAGCTGGGGGCTGGCCAGCTGTTGAGGGGTTCCTAGGAGGATGAAGAAAGTTCAAGCACATGAGGTGGGGTAGGGGCAGCGTGTGGGCCCTGGATGACTATGGATATATTGAAGTGTGAGTGAAGAATTGGGGATGTTTGGCCTCGGCTAAGAGTTGTTTATACTGCAGATGTCACAGATTGCAAAGGGACAGGAGCGATGGGCCAGGAGGAACAGTAAGATACAGTTGGAAATTCAGGGAATCACCACCACAGTTGTGACAGGAAGGGTGGAAAAATCCATCAAGAATGGAAACCAAAAATATATGCCACGTTTTTTATTTCTTTCCATTTTTAATTCTGTTCCCTCTCTTTCTAGGTTGACCTCTCTCCAACATCAGAGCTTGGGAAGAGAAATATAAAAAGAAGCAGATGTTCCCACCTCATTCCAAGGCTGGTTCTCCTTCATACAATGTGCAAATGAAGTTTTAGAGATTTGAGCTCAAGGTCTAGGGTACATCTTACATTCCCTTGTTCCTATCATCTTCTAATTCATGATGTAAGTCTGAGAACTCAAGCATGGGACATTCCTGGTAGTTTCCATCTGAGTAAATAGTAGGAGTGTAGACTGTACCAGTGAAGCCCCGTTCTATGGTAGTCTTTCTCGACTTCAATTTTTTAAAGAGAAGGTGTATTTCTTATCTTGTCACCTAGAGAAATTAAACTCAGTCACTACTTTAAGGTTTATGGTGGTAACCAAAAGTCTGAAATCACCATCGTGCCTGTTTACTCTTCAGGAAAAGGATGGCAATTGCTCCCCACCCACTGGGCTTGCACCCTGGGTCCCTAATCACCACCTGTTGGCTTTTGTTCACTCTTTCCACACTCTCACCTTACACAGTGCTTCTTGAAACTCTCCCAATAATCTGCTAGAGTGCCGGGTGGTTTTCGTTACAACTAATGAATGGTTAAACACAACCTGTACAACTCTATACAATTATTTTAAGGTGGAAATGTGGTTTAAACGGTGACTCATGAAATATTCATATCCAAACATTACTAAAGAGAGAAAGAGAAAACTTCTGGATAAGATAAACTGAATTAACAATGAGATAAAAGTATCTCACAAACAGCTCATCTTCAGCAAACATTTACTCAGCCACCTATTTCATCGCCTACTCTAAGTTCTTTCTCTACTGCCAACTTTTGTATAAATAGAAAGTAACTCAACTTTTAACCTCTTATATGATAAAGATCTTACAGCCATGAAAATGCTCTGTGCACAGTGAGGAAATTCAGAGGGAGACGATGGTCTGCTTTACTTGATTCACTTGTTGTAATATTATCATCATTGTAGATGTTCAGTCTACATCTTCCAGGAAGGAAATGCAGCAGAATATGTTCAAGAAAATGAAATCTCTAGGAACTTATATTTGTAAGAGAACAAGAAAAGTAAGAAAGAAGAGTACAAAAATAATTGAATGCAACATGTTACATCATCAGAGTCAGTAACAAAATATAGCAATTACATTGAGTCCCTCCAAATTTTAAATACTTGAAAGGAAATTTTAATTGGTAAACCATAAATTAATATTTCAATAAACTTCTCTTTTAAAAACTTTGGTTAAGGAAAAGAATATACTAAGCATTAGGATGCTTGGATTTTAGATTTATTTTTACTATTAACTGGATATTGAGTTTGGACAGTATCTTAACACTTTGGGTCTTTTTAAAAAATTTAGATAAGCTTCTTGATACAATTTAGGTATATACAATGATTACATTCATCATAGGGAATCTGTACCAGTACATTATATACTCTGTTTTTCTTTTTTATTTTAAAGAGAAAAAAATCTAACAAAACAACAATAATGAAGACAACAAAAATAACACAAAAACAACAAAAATGATACATGACTTCAAAACAAAATGATAAGAATTAACAGTGGTTGCTACATTACATACTGTTATCCTCAACGAAATTGCTAATTCACCAGATGTAAGAATGCAAGATTGATCAAAGACTATAACAAGTAATAAAAAAAAAATTGGAAATGATACAGAGCTTCACTATACAAGATGGTAGGAATTCAGCGACGGTTTTTACATTGTATATTGTTGTCTTCAAATCAGTTGTTCTGCTTACCAAATACAAGCATGAAAAATTGGTCAAGAAAAAAAATTTAAGCAATACTGTTCCTTTCAATAAACAACAGACATCAGCAATACACCTGTCCCAGCTATCCTTTTACATACATATAAATTTCTTTTTATTTTAAAAGGGAAAAAAAGAAAAACAAAATAACAAAAACAAATATGTAAAACAGCATAAAAACAATAAAACTGGTACAGAATTTCAAAACAAGGTGATAGGAAACTAACAATGGTTGTTATATACTATATAAATTTATCTTCAAAGTGGTTGCTCAGATAACCAGATACAGGTATGTAAAATTGATCAAACAATTATACATTAACTGTCCCTTTTAATAAACCAAAAGAAATTAGTAGTACAATTATCTTAGTTATCTCGTGTGTGTGTGTGTGTATATACAAACATATTTTTTCTTCCTTCTTTCCTTTTCCTCTCCCCTCCTTCATCCCAGTTTCTCCTTCCTATTTGAGCAGTTTCTTTTCTCTTTCACAGTATCTACTGTGCACTTCAGATTTTATTTACTCTTTCACGTTCTGAGGGAGGCAATGTGATGTTTATACATGTTAGTCTCATTTATTTTCACTTATGAGTAAGGTCTCTAGTTGATCCATTTATCTACATAAACCTCAAGTTTATCTTTCTTTATAGCTCAGTAATACTCTATTGTATAAAAATGCCACATCTTTTTTGTCCATTCCTGTTGATGGGCATTTGGGTTGTTTCCAAGATGTAGCTATTACAAATTGCACTGCTATAAACATGGGTGCACATATATCACGGTGGTATCATTTTCAGTTCTTCTGGAAAAATACCCCAAAAAAGAATAGCTGGGTTCAATGGGAACTCTAGTCCTAGTTTACTGAGGAATCTCCATACTGATTTCCACAGTGATTGCACCAGTCTACACACCCACCAACAGTAGAGTTTCTTTTTCTCCACACCCTCTCCAGCATTTATTATTGGTTGATTTCTTGATGATAGCCATTCTTTCTGGGGTGAGATGGAATCTCAGTGTTGTTTTAATTTGCATTTCTCTAATGACTAATGATGTTGAACATTTTTTCATGTATTTATTTGCCATTTGTGTTTCTTCATCAGAGAAGTGTGTATTCATCTCAGATGCCCATTTTTGTATTGGGTCTTTGAGTTTTGGGGGCCTGATTTGTTAAAAATCCTTTATATGTTCTAGACAGGAGTCTGAGGAACAGTTGGCTAAAGTTCTTCCCAATTCATGAGTTTTCTTTTCACCCTGTGGGTGATTTGTTTTGATGTGCAAAAACTGCAATAAGATGAGATCCCAGTTGTTCATTCTTTGAAATATTTCCCATGCAGTGGTTTTTGTTCATGAATTCTCTGTCTACCCCTATGTCTTCAAGAATTCCACCTACTTTCTCTTCCAGTAGATCTAGTGTTTCTGTTTCAATATTTAGATCTTTAAGCCATGTTGACTTTATTTTGGTGTATGGTGATAGGCATGGAATTTGTCCTTTTTTCCTCACATTACCCTCCTCTTCCCTCAACCCTTTCCCCCCAATTTTACAAACCTTTGTTTCCATTTTATTCTTCTTTTCTTGTTTTTTCTTTTCACTTCCTTCCTTTTCTGCTCTCCCTCCCTAGTTCCCTTTTCCTGCTGAGCAATCTCTTCCCATTGCATCATATCTCTTCTACAATTTTGTTCTTATTTATACTTGCAGTTTCTCAAATTAGTAAAACAATGCAATATTTACACATGTTTGTCTGATTTATTTCACTTAAGAATATGGTCTGGTCCATCCATGTAGAAATAAATATGAAGTTTATCATTCTTTATGGCAGAGTAGTACTCCATTATATAAAAGAAACAAATCTTTTTTATTCATTCATCTGTTGATGGGCAGTTGGGCTGTTTTGAGGATTTAGCTATTACAAACTGTGCTGCTATAAACCTGGGTGCTTAGTTTTCATTTTGTGGTTCAGTTGAAATATTTTATGACACATTGATTTATAGACAATATATTTAATATTTCCAGATTAACAAGTACAATGTAATTTTAAAAGCTATTAAACTCCTAATGTGTGGAATGCACCATACTAATTATTACTCTGGGAAGACAGTGAGATAAGGAAAATGTATTCTCAAAAAAAATGCTGAAGACATAGCTCATGGGAAGGCCCTGTGTTCCATGTTCAATAATGCCAAGAAGGGGCTGGGGATTTAGCTCAGTGGCAAAAGCGCCTGCCTGGCAAGTGCAAGGTCGTGAGTTCGGTTCCCGGTACCGGCGAAAAACCAAAAACCAAAAAAAAAAAAATAATAATAATGCCAAGAAAGAAAAGAGAGAGACAGACAGACAGAGAGAGAGAGAGTTAGAAACAGACAGAGAGACAGAGTCAGACAGAAGGAAAGAAAGAAAGAAAGAAAGAAAGAAAGAAAGAAAGAAAGAAAGAAAGAAAAAGAAAAAAAGGAAAAAAAAGAAAGGAAGAAAGGAAAAACAGACTCCTGACTTTAGTGACTTGGGGTGAAATGTCAGTACTAGTAAGAGTTAAGTAAATTCTATAGCTGCGATCAATAAAATATTTAATGAAAGTGCCGAAAGGATCATATTTTTCTACTTGAAGGAAAGATGGCAACTTTACAGAGTAGATAGCTTCTATGAATTAGTAATTCTAGCCTAGAATTTGTCTTTTAAAAGGTACAGTTTAAAAAATATTTTTCAAGCTTTTTGTAGCTCATTTGTGATGAAAAAATGTTAATGTTGAAGAAATGGAACAAATATACTATGCACAGTCCAACCAAAATAAAGTTAATATATCTGTATTTGGTATTTTTCTTTTTTGGTATCAGAACTCAGGACCTTGCACTTGCTGCTGTGCCACTGAGCTATATCCCCAGCCCCATATGTGTGTTAACATAAGACCAAATAGAATAAAAAAAAATGAAAGCACTAGCAAGGAAAAAAGTCAATTAATAATGATTGAAGCTTTATTTTGCCAGTGTATCATACTTTAAAATTCATATGCATGTAAATGCAATAGCCTCAAAATACATAAGGCAAAAATATGAAGAGAAATTATCAAGTCCACAGTTATAACATTTTAGTGAAAAAAAGACAATCAGAGAAAAATATTAAGGAAATTGGTTTATATCTTCTGATTTACACAACAGTTAGCTGATTAGAGGGGATTGCATCAAACACCTGCATCATACATCTCCTACTTAGGCATTGATGTTAAAAACAAAATAGGTTTGAAGCAGATCAATAGGAACCATCCAATTTAAAAAATAAAGAAAAAAGTTTTTTAAAAAATAAACAACTGACACAAAAACCTGGAAACAATCTAAGAGGGTGTACAAGTCATAAAATACAGACACACGCTTAAATATCACATGGTTTCTCTTATATGAGAAATCCAAATTATAAATAGTGAGCAAAATGAACAATGATAGGAATAGGGAGGGGTCTTTCTCAAAGGGGAAAGGGATCAAGTGAGGGAGGGAGCTGAGGGTGGGAGGGTGAGAAAAGGAAGCAAGATGTGGTGTTCATGCAACAGCCCCTTGCAGGGACATAAACATTATGTATCACAGACACGTACCAGTGAAACAGCATAGACTACGTTCTGAATCCAGAATATGCAAAAAGTCATCTTACATGTTCAGATATGAAAGTCCTGGAAGCATATTTA